CCCTGCTCGGCAGGGAGCCTGCTTCTCCCTCTGACCCTCCCCCCTCTCATGTGCTCTCTCTCATTCTCTCTCTCTCAAATAAATAAATAAATAAAATCTTTAAAAAAAAAAGCAACCCAATAAAAATCTCCTTTAAAATCCCTCAGATTTGGGGGTGCTTGGGTGGCTCAGTCAGTTAAGCGTGTCTGCCTTTGGCTCAGGTCATGATCTCAGGGTCCTGGGATCGAGCCCTGCATCGGGCTCCTTGCTCAGCGGAGCCTGCTTCTCCCTCTGCCTGCCGCTCCCCCTGCTGTGTTCTCTCTCTCTCTAATAAATAATAAGTAAATAAATAAAATTAAAAAAATTTAAAATCCCTCAGATTTTGTCAAGGCTTAGCTTTTATATTGTATCTCAGGACCCCTCATATGGGAAGGATTTCTAGTATGGGAGTTATTGAATATAATGCATGTTTGAGTCCAAATTAATAATAATAATAATAATAATAATAATAATAATAATAATAATAATACCACCACCACCACCACTCATGCTCCCTTAAAAATATGCAATGCATTCATACAGTCCATTTTCACAGAGCTCTCTGCATTAAGAAACAAAGGCTGGATTCAAAGAAAGAGGCTATTTCTTATTTGGTGTCTTCCTACATTGCGGATGACAAATCTGTTCTTGAATATTCTGTCTGATTCCAGCACTGGGGATGGCCAGTCCCGACCTGGATTGCAACACCAGCATGAGTTCAAGTCAATGGGATTCCATGAGCTTCTCAGATGCACTTGCCAGAGGGGGTGCCGAAACTCGGGTCAGTACACAGCTGAAAAGACTGCCAGTCCCTCGCCACTTTTCAGGGCACTGAGCAAGCCCGTCTTCCATAGGGCAGAGAAAGAGAACGGCACTTACCAGTTGTTCCTCCTCCAGGCTGGGAGTCCGCCGAAATGATTCCAGGATATCTCAAGCACCGGAAATCTAACCCGTACCGGTGATGATAATACTACGAGAAAGAGGAAAAATGACTTTAAAACACATCCTTTAAACCAGACAGAGCAATGCAAAGAACAGCTCTTTTTTGGGGGGTGGGGTAGGGGGAGGGCGGAGCGGAGTATCTTTCCATGCAGTTCTATTAAAATATTCCTAAAGGAAACGAGACTGTAGAATTTCTAAGAGCCACTCACTTTTCTTTAATAAATAGTCCTTAAGTTTTTATCTTCAAAAAATTACTCTGGTGACATACCAACACGGTCAGTAATAAATCAGCCTGTGCTGGTTTCCAACCTTTCTTTGGAAGACCCCGTGCAGTCCTCCAGGAGCGTGTTCCTGCGGTGGGGCATTGCACAGAGCCCGGGGAGGACAGCACAGGAGGAGGGCAATGCCTGATAGGTCAGCTAAAGGAGCTGACACCAACTCACATGTGCTGTAGAGTTGTTTTTTTCATTTTTTTAAAAAGATTTTTT